CAGAACCAGAGAGCTCGATTGGCATTTGTCATTGAACAGAATTGGCAGGTCTGCCACTGGCACCCTGTGTTTGTCACAGATGAGAGCAGGTTCACCCCGAGTACATGTGACCAATGTGAAGAGGGTCTGGAGAAGCCATAGAGAAAGTTATGCCACTTGTAACATTGTTCAGCATGACTGTTTTGGTGGTGGGTCAGTGATTGTCTGGGGAGGCATATCCATGGAGGGACTGCACAGACCTCTATATGCTAGACAGTGGCCTATAAATGATGGTCCAGTGAGAATCATCCAATTCGGTACACATTGGAATGAAGTACGCAAGATCTTCAATAGGCATTGGCACATATTGACACGTTTTAAGGTTTGCAAGCAATTGAGGGCCCAAGACCCTTTAAAAAAGGTAGCCAAGAGGGCCAAAAACCTAAAATGATATGCTGGTACAGTCCGAGTCCGTTAGAACAGGCAGAACCTGGCTAACTGACCTCCAAGAATTAAAAGGAATGTTTCCTTGGACATGGAAATATTTGCAAATTTGTGCAAAGAACTAAGCCGTTCACTGACTCTGAAGGGAAGAAAAGCTACCAAATTGGACAATTTAAACTGCGCCACAACTAGGGCATTTTATATTATCGAGTGCCCATATAAAAAAAAAAAAAAAATAATATTACGTGAGCAAGACAAGAGCGCCAACTTCGTATTAGAGTTGAGCACTTTAAAAAGTCATAGGCTAAATGAGGCTTTGGCCCAACATTTCGCTGTATTTCATGAAGGTCAAATTACAGGGTTGAGGGTCAAGGGCTTTTTTTGCCCTCAAAATGTCTCACAGAAAAAGGAGACATTAATACTGTGTTACTGAAAAAATAAAAAAGGAGCAGGATATTCAAACTTCCAACTCGGATTCCCCAAGGACTTAATGAAATGAGTTTAAAAAGTATTCCTGGAACCATGACCCACTCTTTCCTTTCTAATTAAAACTTTAATTTCAAAAGTCCCTACATAAGGGTATGCTCTGTGTTATGTTAGATTAAATATCCCTTTTAATGTCACGGATGTTTATGTCCAGTTTAGAATGAAAATGTGATGTTGAATGAATAGTGTACTTCGGCTATGTATTTGGTCTATGAGTTTTGACAGCCTTCTGAGACATGTTAGAATCCAAATGTCACGTGGTTTATTGGTTTTCCCTTTCAATACCATTTTTATATTCTATGACTGCTGTTTTTAAACATGGGACCACCCTTGGCCACTACAATTGGTTGAAAAGGCTGTCAGTCCCTTTAAGACGCCGGTGAGGTGTAAATCCAGACAAAGCACACAATCACCTGGGAGAAACGTGTTGACATAGGCAGCGTCAACTAGCTGGGCACCACCACCCACCGACAGCGATGTTCCTAGCCGCCCATCACTAGCATTACTATTGCTTTCCCACTCATGAAGATTTTTGGATCCCTTACCGAGCTACCGCTTGACAGCAGGTTCTCGAAACTTTTGGCTGGCATATAGAGGTGAACTGGAAAGCATCAGCCGCACAAAAGCACCACATTCGCTTCCAAAGTGCCACATCCACAGTAAGGAGGACTGGATATCACTGAGGGGAGCCTAACTTGTACACTGGAGTGTGAGAGCCCACAGGCATTTTATGCAGCGTAGCTGCTACCGTGCCAACATCACCAAATATAATCTTTGGTCATTGGACCCTCCACACTATAGAGGTAACACTTTACCCATAATTTACTGGATGACTTCGATCATTCCTTTGCTGTCAAATGACAGACAATTGTGCTAGATGCACAGGGTGCTAGCTGTACCTGGACAGATGCGAATTCCATCCAATTTTTCACTATCACGCCCATGCAGTGGGCTAACAGCCTGCCCTACCCATCAGTACTTCCATAAGGGAAATAGGACTATATTGGACACTGGTGTACCAGAGTTCAATCTGTATTGTCTCAGCTCTACCTCTCTGGGGATACACTAACCTTGCATCCAGTGCTTTGATTTGCTGTATATGATAAGCATCCTGTTATTGCCCTAATATCAGGCCACCGTTCTCAGACTCCAGTCACTATATCACTCCATGAGTGATGTTTAACTGCCCAAATACTGTATCCTCTTTAGCAACATTAACTGATGTAGACTGTTGGCCTGAAAGCATGTGCTTTTAAGGAGACTCCGATTACATTTTGCAGTGCGTGTGGATGAGTGGATCCCCGGGCTTGATTTTCAAAGTGACGTTATCTTACTTTATTTTAAAGTGTCTGGAGGATCGTTGGACATCTGGCCTAATTTTACACTGGTTTGATCTCAATAAAGTTGTTTAAATTTGCTTACACTGCAGATTGTCCCCATTTTATTTTTCTTTAAAGTCCCCATAAAGAGGCTTAAAGGAGAACAAAGTTAGACAGTGGCACCCTGACTGCCATTAGGTATTGGAATGAAATCCTATTGTCAGACCCTATGCTGGTGCAGTGGGTCCTGGGTTCCTCCTGGTGCACGACAATGCCTGGACTCATGTGGAGAGTATGCAGGCAGTTACCCAGTCCATATCAGTATAGATATCCAGCATGATATGTTTTCCCATTAAGATCTGATGGTGTTGTCAAAGTGTTCCTTTATTTTTATTTTGTACATTGCTCAAAAAAAAAAAAAATAAATAAATAAACAGTCTCGATATTAATGCATTTCTGAAATTTGTATTTTTTTAGTTTATGTAACTCTCTTTCCACCAATGACACTAATTACAACTACATGGGGAATGGTTTTTGAAAAACAACAAGGTTTCATATTTTACAGTCCTTTGCCAATTCTGTCATTAACTAATAAAGCCCATAAAATGTAAATCCAGAGTGCTATTGTTTGCTGTAAGTTTGAATTCTGGCAACAGTCTTCAGCAATGATGCAGCTCTGAGCAATATTATTAGGTGTCCTTACTGCAATACCAGTCATAGCCTGCACAGCAATACAATACAGCACAAAAGCAATCTGCAAGCAAAGACCTCAGTGCAGTTATGTTTCAATGCAAAAAAAAAAATACAGTAACAAAAACTCTCCACCTTCCATTTCACGCATGTTTTAACACAGAGTGAAAAGGGAAAAAAAAAAAAGCAATGGTGTGCTAAAAAGGTTAACAGAAAGCAGATAGCCACCAGTGGAAAGGGTTTTCCCCTTCCACACCCATGACTAGGACACATCAAGTTTTTCATGTTTTAGTTCGGATTGAAAAGTACACAAACACATTGCAAATCACTTACCTGCTATACTTGCAAATATTTCACTGATTCCAATGAGAAGGTACTGAGGTAGCTGCCACCATATGGGAAGTTTAGCAGCATAATATGTGACATTTCCAATCTGTTGGATCTCCGTATCCCCCCGTTTTACAATCTCCAGTCTCTTACTTTCCAGAAAACCTGCAACCACAGAAACAAAAGTAAACACTGCAGTTTTATTTGGAGAGAAAATGATCAATAAATCGGCACTATCAAAGTCCCAGTTTTATCTGCACAATGCTCATCTCAATGGAATCTACTTCTGGAGCTTGGGTGGTTGTCTTAGAAATCTTCGGTTTATTAAGCTGGTATTCACAAAACTGCACCACTGTTCATGAATTAAGAGCAGAGTCTGGTGACAGACTTCAAGTAAATCTGTCATGAGAGGCTGCCATTGTCCACTTCCTTATTGAAAATACTAGATATCTGGCCATGTACCAGCTTACTGGCTACTTATCAATGACAGAACAGATATGTGGATCAATAACGTCAGAAAGAGAAGTCAGCAGTCTAACTGCATACCTGTTCCAGTTAATACTCAAAGTGCCAAAACAAGAGGATAGGGAGGACAGCCAGATAAGCAGTATTTCTCCAGTGTAATGATCAAAGAACTTAAACAAAAGGGGTAAGGACAGCCAGGTAAGCAGCATTTTTAGAAGTAGCAATTTCAGGTTTACGCTAAAAAGTGAATTGAATCTGCAAGCCTCCAAAAAAAGCAGAGACATTTACTGTCAAAACAGGATACATCCAAGAAGCTGCCATATCACGTTGCATCTCCTGACTCAGAAATCACTGTCCCTCTGTTATGCACACAGTGATGAGATTCTGTGTTTGGCTTTGACCCCCCCTTTCACTTCTTTTCTCCCCTATTAGTTTGCTGATGGACATGGGGCTCTTTCACACTGGTAGCCAGTAAAAACAGTAAGTTGGTAAAATGTTATGCCCCCCCCAAATCCTAGCAACAGTCAGACAGGGCTGTTCACATGCTGTATATGCAATGCTTTGCAACCTCAACTTTTTTTTATAAACTTGGGGAGCAGAGTTTGATAGACAGAACTGCCCTTCAAACTCACCCATTGACTTCAAAGGGGCCGAGCCACAACTGCGTGCAAAGCACTTGTGTTGTGGCAGTGCTGCATTTACAGGAGCAAAATACACAACCTCACCACCTGTTAAATGCTCTCTGAAAAGCAAATGGTGTGATCATTCTCCAGAGGGCATCACAAATGTACAAGGGCACCAATATTGAAGTGCACAAAAATTGTAGGGGCAGAACAGAGCCAGAAACCACAAAAGCGGACCGCTACTTGCATAAACATGCCAGGTTCACTTTATTAAAAAAATTGGCTATACATAAACTTTAGTTTTTTTAACCACTTCAAGTCTGGACACTTTCACCCCCTTCCTGTCCAGGCCAATTTTCAGCTTTCAGTGCCATCACACTTTGAATGACAATTGCAACACTGTACCCATATGAATTTTTTTGCTATGTAAATGAAAAAAAAATCCAAAAATTTTTAGAAAAAAAAAAAAGTTAACCAAAAATATATTTTTATATTAATGTTTTTTTTTTTTATACACTGTCACCCTAGCAGTACAGTGTTACCATAGTAACACTACTACTTGTGGGGGGGGGTGTTTTTTTTTTTTTTTTTTTAATCCACAGCTTGCTTTTACACCCATAAAGGCTGTAAAAGCAATCATTCCTCCTTCTCTGGCTGCATTGAGAACTACAGTGTGAGCTGTGATTGGTCACAGCTTGTCACATGGCACAAGGCTGTTGTGAATAGCCTTGTACCATGTGACCTCTGGCCCAATCAGTGATCACATGCAAAGTAGTAAGCAAGATGTCACTTCTGACGTTGCTTACTACGTGTGAAATCTGTGATTACAATCAGTGATGACATGATCGGGAACTCGCAGAGAGGTCCCGTCCGACGAGCGATGTTCCCGTGTCTGGAGGACACTGGATCGAGGTGCTGGGTGCTCCTAGGGAGCGGGGAGGCCATTTATAAACAGCCACCCATCCCTGCACTGCCACCGTCCAGCCGTTTATATACAACGGCCGGACTGGAGGTGGTTAAATGTAGGCTAGAGTAGGGAAGGGCTAAGCCTCTGGTTCACACCAATGCTACTTGTCATGCGACTTCAAAGTGGCAAGTTGCATGACAAGTCACATCCCATGTCTTTTCAATGGACAGAAAAGGTTCCTGTACCATTTTTGTACGACTTCATACACATTAAAATGCATTATTGAAGTTGCACTGAGTGGCAGTAAGTCACAATGAAATCATACATCATAGTCAGATCTCAGTTTTCTTTTACTTCCCGTCTTGGACACACCACAGGAAGAGGAAATCTCTACAAGTCTGGGGAGTTACTCTTTTAGACAGTTGTCCCAATTGGAAGATTTCCCCTTTTCCTGGTTGCAATTATAAAATTTGCCTTTTGTGTCAGTGACAAATCTGCAGAGAAGCATATAGATAAGTATCCTTATCCTCATTTCTTCTTTTCCCCCCCCATTTCAGAATTAAACACTTGTGGCTTTATATACACTTTAACCACTTGCTTACAGGGCACTTTTGCCCCCTTCCTGCCCAGGCCAATTTTCAGTGTTCAGCGCTGACGCACTTTGGGTACAGTGCTGCATGACCACGCAATTGTCAAACAAAATTTTCATCATTTTTTAAAGACAGATAGTGCTCTCTTTTGGTGGTATTTAATCACCAAGTTTTTTTATTTTTTGCTAAACAAAAAAAAAAAAAAAAAAAGGTTTAAAATTTTTTGTCAAAAAGTCTTAGTTTCTGTTATACAATGTTGTAAATAATAATTTTTCTCCTTCACCGATGTGCCCTAATGAAGCTACAGTGATGGGCACTGAAAGGCAGCACTCATGTATGCCACTGATAGGCAGCACTGAAAGGCAGCTTTGATGGGCACTGATGTGGGATTGATGGATAGGCACTGACAGGTGGCACCGATGCCCCCTCTGAATGCTGCTTACCGGCTCTCCCCACGCGCTCAGTGGGAGGAGAGGACTGCCGATAACCGGCATTTCCTTGTTTACATGCTATCAGCTGTAATTGGACACAGCTGATCACAGGATATGGTGTCATTGGATCTTTACTGTGATTGGCAGGGACCGGGGGGGAGGGGAGGGGATTGGTGCATGCACAAGCAGTTAAAGTGGGAGGACGTCATATGACACTCAGAATGAGAGCCGCCACCAGCCCGTCATTACCTTATATAGCGGGCGGGAGGCAGTTAAATAAGCACCTTAGTTGGCACAGGATAAAGATGATCTTTGCTAATGGAAATGTGGGTTTAATGGCTGTAAAGCTCTCAACAGGAAAACTCCTGTGACAGATCGATCAGTTTTAGTAGTCCCATACATAAATAAAATGCCCTACAACAGTAGAGAATTGTGGATGGAAGCAACGTATACAGACCTGGGCACTCCATTCTTACCTGCAGCCAGGACTGAACAGGTTACAAAAAACATTCCCACAGCAATCCTCTTTAGTGATGATGGTAACAAGCCTTTCCTTTTCAAAACTGGGTCCACCACCTTATCTTTAAGGGGGATTAGGATTAAAATGAGAACTGCATCAAACATGGTGAGCCATGCTGCTGGAAACTGAAACACAAAATGGGTTACAAAGTTAAACCGGTCATCTAAATGACTAGCTGGTTCAGTAGTCCATTAACAGTTTTGCAGACCAAGTCTAAAAATTCAGCTTCTGTCAACATTGGCAGATGACTGATGGGAGTCTATGCATAAAAAGTGTCTGAAAAAGGTATGCATAAAAAGTGTCTGAAAAAGGTATGCATAAAAAATGTGTCTGAAAAAAGACTGTATGCAAGATTTAAGTGAGTGGAGTTTAAAAAATGTTAAAATAAAAAATCTGAAACTATGTTTCAATCTAAAAAAAAACTTTTACTCCCTGCACCAATGCTGCCAGTTATTCCTAGAATACGTACTTTACAACGGTATCAAACCCAAAAATGTAACATTGCAGCTTTCTAGTCATTAAATGTGGTGGCTGCATTTGTTTAGACTCTATTTACCTTCTAATTACCTGCAAACGTGAAAAATGCACCTTGTAGTTATCCTGTTGACATGTCCGTAACATTTTAATTCATGTCATACTATCACATTAGGTGGTTATACCTAGACGCTATTCTATGCGTTTTTCTACTGTACTGTAAAGAAACTGCTTTTTTAAAAAAAAAAAAAAAAAAAAAAGGATTTGTCCTCTGTGCTGAAAGCCATTGTATTGGCCTTACGGGAAACCCACCAAGTTGTACTTTTTGGCTGCAAGTTAGATCATAATGGCAAAAAAATTCAAACCTGTATTTGTCTACAGAGTCATTTTTCAAACAGCATGTTGTCTAGACACAGAATAACACAATTGCCCAAATTTAAATGACACTTTTATTAAGGTGTTCCAATATTCTGGCAGAGAAGCTGACATGTCTCAAATGTTGGACTGGTATAGATTTTGGAACAGAAACTGCAGCAAAATCCTAGTCTGCCAGAATAATATTGATATGTTTAGATTTATGAATGGCAAAATCAAACATTTGCTATGTTGAATATTTATAGGAATACCACTTGAATATACTTACAATAACTCCCAGGAATGTCCTAGATTGTACCTAAGTGACTTGATGCATTTAGGAAAAATTAGGTAAATGCACTAACTGAAAGCCATCGAACACAAAATTCAATGCTCTAAATTAAATGCAATGGATTGGAAAGGGTTGCATCAGTTCAATAACAGCATTTTGTAGCACACTTCAGGAGGCAGTGGTGGTGGTTTAAGTGTGGTCCAGCTTGTCAATATAAATGCTTCTAATATCTGCTTTTTGTGGTTCAACTGCATGATACAATGTTGAATCAGATTGTGATTTTATGAATACCCAGAAGTATTACTCAAAGATTCACTGCCATAATGCTTCAGCTTTGGGTCCAGGCTAAATGTCCTTCCTGACATTTAAAGTGAACCTGTGCTTTGCATGCTTTCCCATGCAGGAAAAAGCAATGTTTACTTGAAGGTGGACCCCACCAGTTGCACATACCACGTACATACTTCCCTAGCACTTTGACCACAAGAGAAAGCCCTATGTAAACTGCAAATCAGAAAAAGGAACTTGCACAGGGCTGAGGTCTCTCCCCCCATCCCATGTGACAGCACTGGGTACCCGATGGCCAATCAACAAGCACCAGCACAGTCATGTGGAAGTCACCCTTTATCCGGTAGCAGGCAGTTTCTTTATGCCCAGTGGCCAAAATAGAGCAGGAAATGAGTGATGTTAAGATGGGACTATGCTGCTGGTGGAGCCAACATAAAAAGGTAAAATTGTTAATTTTCCTTAAGGCCTGTGTCTGTGGTGTTTGAGACATTTCTGAGATCATTCAGAATTCATCAACAGGTGCACCTGACATGCAATGGACACAGGCATAAAGAAATGCAAGGCAAAGTTTCACATTAAAAAGAAGAACAGCAAGGTAATTACAGCAGAAGGGGAGGATAGCAAATTCTTGGAGCTAGTTGATTCTTTCCTTGAAAATTAAAACATCAAACAAACACAATGTTCAATGGAACTGGCACTTTTTGTAATTAAAAGGTTCCAATTAGGAACAACTGCTGAAGGTGAAATATAGCTTTTCAGTATTCATTGCCAAGGGAGAAATTTGATGGAAAAAAAAAGAAAAAAAAAAAAAAAAAAAAGAAGGAAATGCCACAATGGGAGAGGAATGTAAAGAAATCAGCGAGACAGGGTTGTATGAAGACCACATAAATGATTATAATACACCATCCTGATATATTTAAATAAAGCTTACCGTATGATTTTCACGGTCAAATATCTGCGGGATTAACAAGTGGAGGCTCTGAAGGACGTATGTGGTTTGCATCTACAATAGAAAGCATTGTTTGTACTTCACTATAATTACTAAAGTACGATTTGAAGGCTTTAGGTCACAGACATTACAATGCACATTTGCTAAATAAAGCTCAGTTTAACCACTTGCCTACTGGGCACTTTTACCCCCTTCCTGAAAAGGCCAAATTTCAGCTCTCAGTGCGGTTGCGATTTAAATGACATTTGCACGGTCATGCAACGCTCTACCCATACGACTTTTTTTCCCACAGAGCTTTCTTTTGGTGGTATTTAAAACACCACTGGGTGTTATTTTGCACAAAACAAATTTTAGTTTCTATCAAAAAATTGCAAACAGGTAATTATTGTCCTTCACTGATGTGTGTTGATGAGGCTGTACTGAAGGGCAGTGACTGGCAGCACTGGTAGGCACAGAGCAGCAGCACCGATGGGCACTTTTGGGGCTAGACGGATAATCAGTGTAGATGTCTCCTTTCACACTTCATGGTCATCGGTAGTACTTTCCTTCTGCTGTGACAGCATGAGGAAAGTACTGCCGATAACCATCAAGTGCGTTTACACAGTGATCAGCTGCAATTAGACATAGCTGATCACATGGTAAAAAGCCACTGTGATTGGCCCTTTACAGTGTCATGTGATCAGATGTGTCCAAAGGACACAGCGATCACAGAAAGCGATGAGAGCGTGGTTCTGGGAGGACATCATATGATGCCTTCCCAGAACTGAATGACCGTGCTGTAGCAGTCTTTCCGCTATAGCATGGTCAACATGTGGCTAGAAAGCAATTCCACTTTTGTTGAGGGAAAAAAAAGCATTCTCCTCTGGGTGATCTATGTGCATTGCAAGGATTTTAACAAACTTCATTGCAGTCTCTGATTTTGCGCACCCGTGCCGCCTTGTAGCAGCATTTCTGCTATAGGGTTAAGAAATCAGCTGAACCAAACTTATTAAAATCAATAAACACCTTAAAAAAAAAAAAAAAAAAAAACACACAACACACACCCTATGCTGAACATTAATGTACTTGCGTGGTGCCAAGCACATATTGTAAGAATATTTTATAGGTCATATGCATGAAAGAAGGGGCATTAAGGCAACCTATACCACGTAATATAACATGCCCATAGATGCTGCTGTAAGCTCTTTATTGCCCCCTCCATGCCACAGCTCATTAGCAATCCCTAAAAAAAAAGGAACTGAACACTAAAATAAATAAATAAAAAATGGAATGATACAGAATGACCCTGTACAGAAAAATTGCAAAGCTAAAATGACCTCATTTCTCTTTCCCTTAACGGCTACAACAATTGTGTTCACTACTGGCTTACCTACTGTTTAATGGGACAGAAGGAAGAACAACATTGGTCACTTAAATTGATTATAGTGATGGCAGGTTAAAAAAACTACCCCAAGTTCCTCATTTCCATCATTAGGCAAGTTTTGGCAGATACCCAAGCCTAGTCAGCAATGGGAATAACGATTATTCTTGGGGTGTGTGGTGAGGTGTTAGGGCAAGCTGACCATTTAGTTATTATTAAATTAAAAAATACTAATAGTAATATATCCATAATAGTAAGCATAGCTAGTTGATTGTAAAGGGCCCAGAAGCAAGAGTATTAAAATATATGGCCTAAGAAAGAAAATACTAACCTGGAAATACACAGTCCAGTAAGGAATTAGGGCCAAAAAGACTGGTATTATCTTCACAAGGGCTTTGACATCTTCTACCTTATCATCTCGGAACGGTCCTCCACGAGAAGCTTTGGCCATATCCAAGATACTTTGATTAGGCCGATGAGAACCATTTGTTTGGCTGCTTAAAATAAAGATCTGTTAATATCTTACACCAATATAAAAATACAATATAGCATGTCATCTCTTGAGCAATCATTAGGGACTTAACCACTTCAAGTCCGGACACTTTCACCCCCTTCTTGTCCAGGCCAATTTTCAGCACCATCACACTTTGAATGACAATTGTGTGGCCATGCAACACTGTACCCATATGAATTTTTAGCTTTTTTATGAGACATATAAAATTTTGGTGGTATTTATTCACCACTGGAAATTTTATTTTTTGCTATGTAAAATTAAAAAAGTCCAAAAATTTTGGGAAAAAAAAAAAAAAACCCAAATTAGTTCATAACCAAGAATTTAATTTTTTTATATAAAATGTTTTTTTTACAAACTGTCACCCTAGCAGTAGACTGTACTACTTGGGGGTGATGGATTTACATACATACATTGCTTTTACACCCATAAAGACTGGAAAAAAATTTCTCCTTCTCTGGCTGCATTCTTTCAGCCATTGAGAAATATTGTGTGAGCTGTGATTGGTCACAGCTTGTCACATGGTACAAGGCTGTTGTGAATAGCCTTGTACCATGTGACCTCTGATCATTCACAGATTTCACACACAGTAAGCAATGTCAGAAGTGGCATCTTGCTTACTACTCTGCATGTGATCACTAATTGGCCAATACAGTGATCGGGACCTCGCACAGAGGTCCCGTATGATGATTGGTGTTCCACTGTGTCCGGAGGACACAGTGGGCACTGATTTGCGGTGATGTGCGCTTCCAGGGAGCGCGCACAAGCAGGGGGCAGTTTAAAAACCGGCCGGACGGGAGGTGGTTAAAAATATAAAACTACACCTATAGTACTGTCCATGAGGATAATGTGCACTGTACAGCTCCCTATAGCACTGACAGATCAGTTACCAGGCATCTTTTATCAATATGCAAGCTGCCAATGCTTACCTCTACCTGAATAGGCTAGCTGGCTGGCTGTTATGCTGATTCTCTGGCTTCATCATTTTAAGTCAATGAACAATTCTGCAGATCCAGAGGAGCCGGATTCATAAATTGCTTTTCACTGATAGCTTCTATATATGTGTTAGTTTTCGCATTTCCGGAGGCCTCTTTTTGCTACTCGGCGCTGCACTAATTCAACTGATAATTGCGCGGTCATGCAATGCTGCACCCAAATGAAATTTACGTCCTTTTTTTTCACACAAATAGAGCTTTCTTTCGGTGTAATTTGATCACCTGTGCGCTTTTTATTTTTCACTATAAACAAAAAAGGCCAAAAATTTTGAAGAATAATATTTTTTACTTTCTGCTATAAAAAAAAATATATAGTAAACTCAAAGTTGGTTATAAATTTTGGCCAAAACGTATTCTGCTTCATGTTTTTGGTAAAAAAAAATCCCAATAAGTGTATATTGATTGCTTTGTGTGGAAGTTATAGCGTCTACAAACTATGGTATAAATACTGCAATTTACGCCATTTTTCTGCTATACAGCGTTGCGCTAGTTTGACAATTGCGCGGTCATGCAATACGGTACATAAATGAAATTTACATCCTTTTTTTCCCTCACAAATTGAGCTCTTTTGGTGGTATTTGATCGCCTGTGCGGTTTTTATTTTTTGCGTTATAAAAAAAAAAAAAAAAAAAAACGACAATTGAGGAAAAAAAAAAAAAAAATATTTTGGACTTTGCTATAAAACATGTCCAGTAAAAAAAAAATGCAAAAAAAAATCAAAATTTAGTCATAAATTTCTGCCAAAATGCATTCTGCGACATGTCTTTGCTAAAAAAAAAAAACCCAATACGTGTAAATTAATTGGTTTACGTGAAAGTTATAGCGTTTACAAATGGCGGGAAAGATACTGGGATTTTTAATTTTTATTTATACGAATAATAGGGGCAATCAGCAACATATGGCGGCGACCAACGACATATGGCGGGACTGCGGCGGACATTTTGACATGGGGGGGGGGGGGGAAGAAACTGACTTGGGGTCACTGACATAGACGGTGACACCAATACAGTGAAAAAAAAAAAAACACTGAAACTGTACTGTCACTGGGGAGGAAGGGGTTAACATTTTTAGAATTTGCTGTGTAAGGGGAGTGTTTTACTAGGGGCGGGGGTATGTACTGGACAGGGGGAGGGAGGGGGGGGAGATGATCGAGGGAGAGAAACTCTTCTCTCCCTCTGCAGCTTGTCGGCGAACTGTCACAGAGCAGGCTGTGTGTAAACAATGCAGCCCTGCTCTGCGTCAGTGATTACCGCTCATCGCGGGAAAACGGCCGGTAAAAAAAAACCGGCCGTGACCCGGCAGCGGAGACCTGCTGCTGACACCCGCGGGACAGGCAGGGCGGGCGCGCGCCCCCTACCTGTTTTGAAGGCAGCCGTTTTACGTGCTTTTGCCTACGAGCGCCGCCCTGCCACCGTTTATATGCGGTGGCTGGGCAGCATGTGGTTAAAGGGTTAGCTTGCCTTTATATAGAAAAAAAAAAAAAAATTTCTATGCAGGTTTTTTTTTTTTTTTTTTTTTTTAAACTACAAAACTACGCAGCTGACTAAAGTTGAAAGCCCTTTCTATAGGTGTAGGCCATTTACATACCTTCCAAAGCCTGACTGGAATACTTCCAGGTCTCCCTCCCCAATGGAAACCTACTTGTTACTACTCACCTTACCTGCTAGTATGTTTTTGTCTACATGCATAGCTCATTCAAAGAGCTCTGTGAATGAAGGGCGTGTCCATGTGGGCGTAGCCCCACACGGCCGCACTGGTTTCAAAAAGTCAACAGGTACAGGGAACTTCTCCCTGTACTGCTGTCACAAGGAGAAACATGTTACAGGTTCCATCCTAAAAAACAGGTGGACATTTTCACTTAGTGGTGTACTCAGTTCTGTTTCCAGCGGTTTAGACATTAATGGCTGTGTGTTATTTTGAGGGGACAGCAAATTTACACTGTTATACAAGCTGTACACTCACTACTTTACATTGTAGCAAAGTGTCATTTCCTCAGTGTTACATGAGAAAATAAAATATTTACAAAAATGTGAGGGGGTGTACTTCTGTGATGGGCTGAAAGTACACACTCAGGTTTAATTTGATGGTATGTACATCCAAATTGGAGAAAGTGTTTAGGAATTACAGCTCATAAGAGTAGCCATCCCACCTTTTTTCAAGGGACCAAAAAGTAATTGGACAATATAATCATAAATAAGATGTTCATTTTTAATAATTTGCTGAGAATCATTTACTGGCAATGACTGCCTGAAGTCTGGAACCCATGGACATTAGCAAGGACTGGGTTTCCTCCCTACGGATGCTTTGCCAGGATCTAACTATAGTGGTCTTCAGTTCTTTGTGGGTCTTTTCTGCCCTTAGTTTTGCCTTCAGCAAGTGAAATGCATGCTCAATTGGGTTGAGATCAGGTGATTAGCCTGGCAATTGCAGAATATTCCACTTTTCCTTCGAAAGCTCCTGGGTTGCTTTTGCAGCGTGTTTTGGATCATTGTCCATCTGTACTGTGAAGCGCCGTCCAATCAACTTTGCTGCATTTGGCTGAATCTGGGCTGACCGTATCTCTAAACACTGCAGAATTCATCCGGCTGATTCTTGTCACAAAAAACACCAATGACCCAGTGCCACTGGAAGCCATGCATGCCCATGCCTTCACACTGCCCCACCATGTTTTACAGACGACGTTGTGCGATTTGGATCATGAGCTGTTCCACGCCTTCTCCACACTTTTTTCTTCGTCATTCTGGTACAGCTTAACCTTAGTTTCATCCATCCAAAGACTGCTTTTCCAGAACTGCTCTGGCTTGTTTAGATGTTTTTTGGCAAAGTCTAATCTGGCTTTCTATTCTTCAGGCTTATGAATGGTTTGCACCTTGTGGTGATCCCTCTGTATTTGCTCTCGTGAAGTTCTCTTGATTGTAGACTTTGACAATGATACGCCCACCTCCTGGAGAGTGTCCTTCACTTGTCTGGATGTTGTGAATGAGTGTTTTACCATAGAGAAGATCCTATGATCATCCACCACTGTTGTCTTCCGTGGACATCCATGCCTTTTATGTTGCTGAGCTCACCAGTGCATTTTCCTTAGAATGTACCAAACTGTTAATTTGGCCACTCTTAATGTTGCTGCTCTCTGATGGATTTGTTTAGGTTTTGAAGCCTTACAAAGGTCTGTTTCACTTGCATGGACAGCTCCTTTGTAATCTATTGCTATGAACCTACATCATGCGTTCAAATACCACACTTAGGCTGGCCATACACTATACAATTCTCCTTTAGAAAAAGGCTTTAGATTTACCAAAAACATGGTCAAACCTAAACACGTTCATTTGTATCCAATTAAGCGGCCCTTGCACTACACAGTTGAAGGTAAATCTAAAGAAAATTGGGCAGAAAATTGTACAGTGTATAGCCAGCCTTAGAATCAACTCCAGACCTTTGTTCCTCAATTAAGCAGGTAAAAGAAGTAGCCCACACCTGGCCATAAAACAGCTTTTGATTCAATTGTCCAATTACTTTTGGTCCCTTGAAAGGGGGGGTTATCTACTCTTAAAAGCTGTAGCTCCTAAACCCTCTCTCCAATGTGGATATTTATATCCTCAAATTAAACCTGAGAGTGCGCACTCAGCCCATATCCATTATATAACTATAGCTTGAATATGTTTTGGTAAATACTTGAAAAATCTATAATTGTACCTGTGTCCAAATATATATGGACGTGTGTAATATATATAAAGATATTTTTTATTTAATGTTCACATGTTCCTACAGTCAGAACATTATACATACATGTGCCTTGAGTTTTCCGTTGATAGTGTTTCCGCCTACAGCAGGAGTATCCCAATATTCTAAACAGGTCAGTGAAGGCACTTCCATCAGCTGGTTTGGTAATAAAGACGGCATGTCCACACAAAAACACAAGAAAGGAAACACCGATACAAACTGTAGGGATAATGTATCCAATGAGAAAGCTCACATTCTGCTGAACATAAGCTATCCCACACAGAGAGACGATTGCACCCAAGTTAATGCTCCAGTAGAACCAGTTAAAAAATCTACGCGTTGCCTCCGGTCCACAGTCTTTGACCTAAGCAGAAAACAAAAACAAGAATTCATTACTAAACCGCCATTCAGATAATTCCATTATTAAAACCAGTTCACAAACAGTACAGCAGGGAAACAGGACAGACGCGCATCAGTGCAGAGGGGGGAGTGCCTTTACACAGAATCAACTTGAGGATTTAGGAGAAAGCAACAAAGTAGGACTACAGCTGCATTTTATGCAATTGGATAGGACGGTGAAGTTAAGCTCTCAGGCAGGATTTTATGATAATCCTTTTCCCCACTGGGAAGGAGACTTTCCCTCACTGGTTCTACTATTGTGCCCATAAATTTACCCCCCTACCCCCAATTCCTATCTTGTAAAAACGTCAGAAGGATAGGAAGCAAAGAGAAAGCAAAACCAAAAATGTAACATAGGTTCTAACTATGGTTGCACCGATACCAGTATCGGTGCCGATACTAAGCATTTGTACAAGTACTTATGTTTGCGACTTGCATTGACTTCTGATAAAATGAGTCACAAGCCACAATGAAATCGAAGTTCCAAATCGCACTGAAGTAGCACTATTTCAAAGCTACTGATCAATGAAGTCACATGGGGAGGAGGGGGGGGGGGGGGGGGTCACTTGGGTGATCCCGCCCCTTACATATTTAAGAACTGTCAAACCACTAGAGCAGGTAGGTGGCCAGGTGCCATCATCAGAAGCGGAGCCTTTTTTAAATTCTTTTTTGGGTCGGCGGCGGGCAGTGATTGACGTTGGATCTACTGCGGGGGGGACATTTTACTTTTTTCATTTAATAAAGGGCTTGTCAAAGACAGTGTCCTGTCTTTTTACGCACTACACTTTTTTTGTGAATGAGTAGCAGGACCATGTACCCCATACTCATTCACATGGGGGGGCTGGGATCTGGGAGCCCCCTTGCCCCAAAGCACCCCCATGTTGAGGGCATGTGGCCTGGTATGGTTTGGGGGGTGCTCGCTCATCACCCCCCCCCCCCCCAACCTGCATGCTCGGATAAGGGTCTGTTATGGATTTTGGGGGGACCCCCACACCATTTTTTTTATTTTGGCATGGGAGTTTCCCCTTAAAATCCATACCAGACCTGAAGGGCTTGGTATGGATGGGAGGGGGGACCCCACACCAATTTTTTTTTTTTTTTTTTTTAATTGCAGACAATTCTTTTACATTCAGCTGTCAGTGGGGAACCCCACTGACAGCTGAAAACATTAACACATGGTTGTCACTACTAAAATACCGCATGACTTAATAAAATAACTCATGCGGTATTTTAGTAGCGTTTACTTTATTTTTAAACTCCGGAGCAGATTAGAGGTTTTTCAATGCATTCCTATGGGAAACAGTTTACAAATGTCATTTGTTCTGCAGGACTTTGTTTAGCAAGGTTTGTAAAATTCCGAAACACTGAGGTATGCATGTACTTTAAAGTGACTGTAAAAGGCTCTTTTTTTACCTTCATGCATTCCATACTTCAATCCAAAAACACCCCCTAGTGACTTCAATGCAAAATTGCCAGGCACATTTAAAAAAAAAAAAAAAAAAAAAAAAAAAAAAGGGAAACCCACCACACTTTTGGCCCAAGTGCATTAAGAATTGTTTCAGTACCAGAATTTGCATTTTGGTGCACCATTCCATTTTGGTACTTCCATTACTGCCTGTCAGTTCCTCCCGTCAGAAGCCAGACTTGTGGGTGTTCCTATTACGCCCACCCCCCGTTTAGTGAGTGCTTTTCAAAGCTAAATTTGGAAAATATGGATATCGGTATAACAAGCACAAAACACCTGTCCAAGCGACTTCCAATCAGTAAACTTCCATACTGTGCATTGGTGGGTACATTTCCCATTCAGACTCGCCAGTATAACAGATGATCACACAGCCCTCGCAGCCAACTGTCCTCTATCAGTAGGAAAGGCAGGCAAGTGTTGACACACACACACACACACACACACACACACACACACACAGAGAAAAAAAAAAAGTCAGTTTGCATATCGGGTAGTGGGTGCACACGAGGCGCGCGCCTGCCCTACACGCGCCGCCAATCTTGGTCGCGGGTGTCAATCGCCGGGTCCCGGCCGGTCATTACCCGCCAGGTCCCGGCGATTACCGGCAATCACCGGCAGGGAGCGCGGCTGCAGTGTTTACACTGCAGCTCTGCTCTG